ATCATTAAAAATTAATTCTGAATTCCAATTACACACACACACAACTTTATACACGCTACGACATTTCAAGCACTTACCATGTTAATTATCCGATGATACACAGATGGAAAGACAAAGAAAGTGAAATTATTTTATTCAACACATCATCAAAAACTTGAACACACTGCAAAAGACACGATCTATATGTTAATTCCATCTCATACTTCGATAAAGCGATATTAAAAGAAATTAACCTTACCAACTCATCCTTCTTCCTAAAGCCTGTGAAGCAGATAACGAGACCAGACATGGCCAGGTTGTATAATGGCCGCCTATTCCTTGGTAAACCCACCCTCTTCTCCGCATACTGCTGAAGAGCTGTTGGACCAAGGATTCTGACAAAGAAAGCAGAAATTAGCAACTAATATAATGCGTTCATGCTGCAAACCTTCAATTAAATAAATGAAATATGATCTCCAGTAACATGGTTTCATATCAGTGCCCTTCAGATCCATGTAGAAATAACCCAAAAGTTATTTCAGAAGTACAGAACAGCAACGTCCCCTGAGGCCCTGACCCAAAGACCACTGAGATAACTTCCTACAGACCCTGCTGGAAGATCCTCAGGGAGGCATTTCCCTGATCTCAACCCTCCCCACATGAGCAAGGAAACATGTCAGCAAGAATTCTGTGATGTACATGGAAAATAACAGAAAGTATACGTAATGTAGATGTAGCGACCGCATTGTTTCACTTTGTCCAACACTTTGTTCCCGCATTTAACACAAACCTCAAACACAATAAATGTACAAAAGTATAAAGAGTTTAAGTGGTGTAAAAATTGTAAATATGTGTAACAGTGTGAAGAAAATTAATTGGAAGACGTCTGTAGAAGTAGTAAATAGCAGTACAATTTGGTATCTAATTTTACATACATTTTATATTAAATTATAAGAAATCCAAATACATATGGGGTTAAAACATCATAATTCAATTTATAAAAGAATAGTCACACATATATGGTAAAGTGATCACCTGGATAATAACCATGGCTCTATAGTATGAACTATCAATCTAGACCCCATGCAAAAATATTTGAAAGA